GCTGTGGGGCTCAGTCTGAGCCTGCTTATACTGCTGGAGTGGAGGGGGTGTTACTGAGCAACCCTGCTTTCATATTTACATGTCAGTGCAATTAAGTTTATACATGTGTTCAACTTTCAATATGAGGAGCTGCCTTTATCTGAGTTAGGCACACACATCCTTGGGTGTTTTGTAGAGCTTTTTACCCACTGGATGTAAATAGAGCCTGCATTTTGAAGGAGTGTGAGTAGCCACATATATGCGGCAGACTTACCTGTAATTCTATCATTAATTTGGAATTCAGAGTCATTGGGAAGTGCCTTTCCACACCGCTGAGATAGTTTAGACTCCCATTTTTTAATTTTTGCTGACCCATGTTCCCTTCTCCATGTGGTCGGTGTCCTCCATGGTCTTCAGGAAGGATGCCTCCACTACTATTTTATGTAGCAATAAACTGAACAACTTTTTAGGAAAATTGCAATCGGCTCCCAGTTGCTTCAAGCACCACTTGTGCTTCCAAACTGTGTCAGTTATTTCTCTTCATGTGGCAATAAAAAAAAAAGAAAAAAAAAAGTAGCTTTTATTATTCACAAACTGTGAACAATAAAGTTGGTAACACTGTTGAGTTCACTTACACAACACTCAATAAAAAAGACGATGATGTCATCAGATATCATGGCATAGTTGTAGGAGCTATGGAGACAGAAAGGATCTGACATAACTGGTTTTGACTACTTTGCCATGTTTTCCTTTTTGGTGATAATACAGAGTTAAATTTTATGGGAGATTTGAGTTCTCTTCACCCATGGGGCCACTGAGGTCACCCAGCATTACTTTCTGTGTTATGTATATTGTAAAGATTTATGTAGGTCTGGTGTCTATTTAGTCACTGACCAATTTAGATCTTAGAAGTTCTTGTTATTGTTGTTTAAGTATGCATAACAGCCCTTTCAAGTGTGACCTTTATGTTGGTATGTATCTTGGGAACAAAAGAAGGATTTTATAATGAACAGCCTTGCCATAATGAGTCATTATTTAAAAAGAAATACAGCAACTATCTTAAGAAAATGTCATACTATATATTCCATGGTCAGCACCAATTTGGACAAATTAAGCTGCATTCCACACTGAAATTCTGGCCTGCTAATACAAGAAGACAATTGTACCCCTTGTTTCAGTGTTTTGTTTTTTTTTCCAACTGTGTTTTCAGTCCAGTCAGGCAAGTTCTCCCACATTACTTAGGAGATGAAAAGTGACTGGATTTTACGTAAGTTAACCTAATTAAGCACAAATAAGTAAAACATTAAATTATTGGGATTAAAATACATTTCGCTTAGTAGAGATACATTGATTCATGGTGATCTAGGTCAGCTGCCTTATTTAAATGTTGCATAATTATTTATCTATA